CATATTTTCCCATAAAGAGCTTCTTATTTTACAACTGCATAGTATTCTGTATTGTAGTTTAACACATTACTTTGACCTCTATATTTCCTGTATTTTGGTAATTGGATTTAGATGCTTAGAGATACTGTATTCTACCAAGAGGCACATATTGTGTAGCTCTCTTTTTGTGATGTTAGCAGCTGTTGATCCATTAAATCATTGGGAGATGCAAAAATGCTTATTTTTAAAATGTTTACATTTTATTTTAGAAGTAGAGATGGGACCAGGCACAGTGGTTCATGCTTGTAATCTCAACACTTTGGGAGGCTGGCAGATTGTTTGAGCCTAGGAGGTCAAGACCAGCCTGGGCAACATAGTGGAAACCCCTACAAAAAAACTTGAAAATTAGCTGGGCATGGTGGTGTGTTCCTGTAGTCCCAACTATTTGGGAGGCTGAGGTGGAAGATCAATTGAGCCTTGGGAGGTTGAGGCTGCAGTGAGCTGTGATCATGCCATTTGACCTCAGCCTGGGTGACAGAGCAAGACCTTGACTCAAAAGACAAAAAAGCCCGTCCCCTCCTTCTCCTCCCCTCCCCTCCCCTTAAAAAAAAGAAAAAAAAATTAAAAAAAAAAAAAAAGAAAAGAAAACAGACCGCTGAGACCGCGTCCACCCCGCCAGCCCAGAGCCTCGCGCTTGCCGCTCCGTGGTCCGTCCACACCCACCGCCAGCTCACCATGGATGATATTACTGCACTTGTCGACAACGGCTCCAGCATGTGCAAGGCCAGCTTCGCGGGCGATGATGCTCCCCGGGCAGTCTTCCCCTCCATTGTGGGGTGCCCCAGGCACCAGGGTGTGATGGTGGGCATGGGTCAGAAGGACTCCTATGTGGGTGACGAGGCCCAGAGCAAGAGAGGCATCCTGACCCTGAAGTACCCCATCGAGCATGGCATTGTCATCAACTGGGACGACATGGAGATCTGCCACCACACTTTCTACAACAAGCTGCGTGTGGCTCCTGAAGAGCACCCCATGCTGCTTACTGAGGCCCCCTTGATCCCCAAGGCCAACCATGAGAAGATGACTCAGATCATGTTTTGAGACCTTCAACACCCTAGCCACGTATGTGGCCATCCAGGCCGTGCTTTCCTTGTATGCCTCTGGCTGTACCACTGGCATCGTGATGGACTCTGGTGACGGAGTCACCCACACTGTTGCCCATCTATGAGGGGTATGCCCTCCCCCATGCCATCCTGTGTCTGGACCTGGCTGGCCGGGACCTGACTGACTACCTCATGAAGATCCTCACTGAGCACGGCTACAGCTTCACCACCACGGCTGAGCGGGAAATCGTTCGTGACATCAAGGAGAAGCTGTGCCACGTCATCCTGGACTTGGAGCAGGAGATGGCCATGGCAGCCTCCAGCTCCTCCCTGGAGAAGATCTGTGAGCTGCCCGATGGTCAGGTCATCACCATCGGCAACGAGCGGTTCCGCTGCCCTGAGGCGCTCTCCCAGCCTTCTTTCCTGGGCATGGAATCTTGTGGCATCCACGAAACTACCTTTAACTCCATCATGAAATGTGACGTGGACATCCGCAAAGACCTGTATGCCAACACAGTGCTGTCTGGTGGTACCACCTTGTACCCTGGCATCGCTGACAGGATGCAGAAGGAGATCACTGCCCTGACACCCAGCACGATGAAGATCAAGATCATCGCTCCTCCTGAGCGCAAGTACTCCGTGTGGATCAGTGGCTCCATCCTGGCCTCGCTGTCCACCTTCCAGTAGATGTGGATCAGCAAGCAGGAGTACAATGAGTCTGGCCCCTCCATCGTCCACCGCAAATGCTTCTAGGTGTCTCAGTTGCATTACACCCTTTCTTGACAAAACCTAACTTGCGCTGAAAACAAGATGAAATTGGCATGGCTTTATTTTTGTTGTTGTTGTTTCGTTTTGGTTTTTTTTTTTTTTTTTTTTTGGCTTGACTCAGGATTTAAAAACTGGAACAGTCGGCTGGAGTGAGCATCCCTCAAAGTTCTACAGTGTGGCCAAGGACTTGATTGTGTACGTTGTTTTTTTAAAGACATTCTAAATATCGTGAGATGTATTGTTACAGGAAGTCCCTTGCCCTCCCAAAAGCCACGTCCCTTGCCCTCCCAAAAGCCACCCCACTTCTCTCTAAGGAGAATGGTCCAGTCCTCTCCCAAGTCCACACAGGGGAGGTAACAGCATTGCTTTTGTTGTAAATTATGTAATGAAAATTTTTTAAATTTTGCCTTAATATTTTTTATTTTATTTTGAAAGATTTTAGCCTCTGTGGCTACTCCTTTTTTTTTTGTCCCTCAACTTGAGATGTATGAAGGCTTTTGGTCTCCCTGGGAGTGGGTGGAGGCAGCCAGGGCTTACCTGTACACTGACTTGAGACCAGTTGAATAAAGTGTACACCTTAAAAAAAAAAAAAAAGGAAGACAAAAAAACAGAGATGGAGTCTGGATGCATGATCCAGTAAGGAAAAAAAAAAAAAAAGAAAGAAAGAAAAAGAAATAGAGATGGGGGCCTTACTCTGTTGCCCAGGTTAGTCTCAAACTCTTAGCCTCAAACCTTGGCTTCAAATGATCCTCCTGCCTCAGCTTCCCAAAAATCTGGAATTACAGGTCTGAGCCACTGTACCATACCTGATTTTCTAATAGTATCATTCATTTTTTGTTCATTAGCTTGAGTATTTCTGAAAAGAGATACGTCCTCTCATTTTCTATTCAATTATTCAGAGCTATAGTTTATATAGGAAAGGCAAGATAAAAGCTTGATTGTTTCTCTTTCTTAGTTACCAGTTTTTAAAAACTGGTTGTCTGGCATCCTCCAGTGATAACTGATTTAAAAAAAATTTTTTGGGCTGGGCGTGGTGGCTCACGCCTGTAATCCCAACACTTTGGGAGGCCGAGGCGGGCGGATCATGAGGTCAGGAGTTTGGGACCAGCCTGACCAACCTGGTGAAACCCCATCTCTACTAAAAAATACAAAAATTAGTCAGATGTGGTGGTGCACACCTGTAATCTACTCTGGGAGGCTGAAGCAGGAGAATCTCCTGAACCCAGGAAGCAGAGGTGCAGTGAGCTGAGATCTCGCCACTGCACTCCAGCCTCGACAACAGAACAAGACTCCATCTTAAAAAAAAAAAAAAAAAAAAATTATGTGCATTCGGCTTCTCACAGCATGACTGTTAGGATCCTGGAGGGACCATCCTAAGAATAAGCATTCTAACGGGCAGGAAGCAGAAACTGGCAGGCCAGCCAAAGCTTATGCCTGGGACTGGTATAGTGTCACTTCCACTGTATTCTATTAACCCATGTAGTAATAGGGTCTGCCCAAATTCAAGGAGCTGGAAGAAGAGACACCATTTTTTGATAGGGGAGTGGCAAGGTCACATAGCAGAGAATTGTAGGATAGGAGATATTGCTGTGCTTTTCCTTTGGAAAATCTGCCTCAGTGAGTCACTTCATGTTGGTTCCTGGGTCCTTCTGGTGTGACCCTTTGTTTGTTTGTTTTTGAGACAGTCTCACTGTTGCCCAGGCTGGAGAGCAGTGGCATGATCTCGGCTCACCATAACACCCAGCTAATTTTTGTGTTTTTAGTAGAAATGGGGTTTCACTATGTTGGCCAGGCTAGTCTTGAACTCCTGGCCTCGTGATCCGCCCACCTCAGCCTCCCAAAATGCTGGGATTACAGGTGTGAGCCACTGTGCCCAGCCCCCTTTTGGTCTGTGATAGTTTCTTTGCTATCTTGTATGATAAGAAACCCCAGGTTCAGCTTGGTGTGGTGGCTCATGCCTGTAATCCCAGCACTTTGGGAGGCTGAGGCAGGCAGATCATGGAGTCAATAGATTGAGACCATCCTGACCAACATGACGAAACCGTGTCTCTAATAAAAATACAAAAAAATTAGCTGGGCATGGTGGCACACACCTGGAGTCCCAGCTACTTGGGAGGCTGAGGCAGGAGAATCGCTTGAACCCAGGAGGTGGAGGTTGCAGTGAGCTGGGATTGTACCATTGCACTCCAGGCTAGTGACAGAGTGAGACTCCATCTCAAAAAAAAAAAAAAAAAAAAGATGCCCAGGATCAACTTATATTCTGCATCAGACCCATTTCTCCAGGAGTCCCTGATTCCTTTCAGTCTTTCAGTGGCAGCTCCATCACTGTAAATGTTAGTTGTCCACAGGACACTGGGTAGCTTCGGGGGGCACCTTGCTCTCACTTTTTTGTTGTTGTTGAGACAGATTCTCATTCTGTTGCACAGGCTGGAGTGAAGTGGCATAATCCCAGCTCACTGCAACCTCCACCTCCTGGGTTCAAGTGATTCTCCTGTCTCAACCTCCTGAGTAGCTAGATTATAGGCACACACCACCACACCTGGCTAATTTTTGTATTTTTAGTACAGATGGGGTTTTACCATGACCATGATGGGGTCAGGCTGGTCTTGAACTCCTGACCTTGTGGTCCGCTTGCTTTGGCCTCCCAAAGTGCTGGGATTACAGGCATGAGCCACCGCGCTCAGTCCCAATCCCCCCCCACCCACTTTTTTTTTAAGACAAGGTCTTGTTCTGTCACCCAGGCTGGAGTGCAATGGTATGATCACAGCTCACTGCAACCTTGAACTCCTGGGCTCAAACAATCCTCCTGCCCAGGTCTTGTGACTAGCTGGGACTATAGCCTGGCTAATTTTTATAGTTTTTGTTGTTGTTGTAGAGATGGGGGTCTCACTATCTTGCCCAGGCTAGTCTTGAGCTCCCAGGCTCAAGTGATCCTCCCACTTTGGCTTCCCAATGGGATTACAGACATGAGCCACCTTGCCCAGTCCTTGCCATCACTCTTGCTTTACACAGAGTGAGGAGGACAGCCAGCACTCCTAAAGCCAAAGAATTGGCATTAGGAACTAAGGAAAAACTGCCAGCTGAATACATTTTTATTTTCTCACACAGATGCCATTCAGCTGGAATGATAACTCTCTCTTTCTGACCTAGTCTTTGGCTAAAGACCTGTCTGAAGCCGAGGAGCAGTATGCCCGTGCCCTGCGCAGCCACTTGCACAATGTTGACCAACTCTTGGCCCTGCAGAGGCGCCGGCTCAGTCTCCTGGAGGAAAGTTACAACCTGGAGCTGGAAGCCCTAACCAAGGAGTTTGAGACAGAAAGGTATGGGGGCCTAAGAGAAGATGGGGAATTGAATCCAGGGGAGTGCCCAGAGTCTGTGTCAAGGAGGTGCCTGTAAACAAGTGACTAGTATCTTGGAACATCCCATGTTGATTATCACAGGACTCCCAGCAGAGAATATCTTGGTTCCTTTTAAACAAACTTGGGCTTAAGCTTGCAGCCCTACCTTCCCTTTACCCACCTCAGGCCCCTGTTTGTGTGCCTTCACCACCCACTTTCTTCTTCTTTTTTTTTTTTTCTTTCACTATTTTTTTCCTTATTTTTTTTATTTTTTATTTTTGGTTTGTTTTGCTTCTTTCGAGATGGCGTCTTGCTCTGTTGTCTAGGCTGGAGTGCAGTGGTGCAATCTCAGCTCACTGCAACCTCTGCCTCCTGGGTTCAAGCAATTCTCCTTCCTGAGCCTCCTCAGTAGCTGGGACTATAAATGCATACCACCATGCCTGGCTAATTTATTGCTTTACTTTTTTAAAAAATAACTCTTTTTTTTCTTCTTTTTAAATTTAACTCCTCAAATTCATTTTACCAACTACCCACTTTGAACTATCAAAATCCTACCCATTTGACAGGGAACAGGGATGGGGAGGAAACTTCTCACTGTAACCTTTTATACTTTTTTTGTATCACATGAATGTATTAGCCATTCAGAAATCAAAATAAAATAGTCTTATTCTTTCTAGCCCTGAAAAGAATAGAGCCTTCCCTCTCTCTGTTCTCCATCAGTACCTAAGAGTTTGTACCATTCACATAGATTTATTACATACTGCTTTGAATTGTCATTATTGGTCCATATCCTGTATCCCTTAGAGCAGGGATAGTGACTTGTCTCTTACAGGAAGACGATTATTGACCAACATGAGAAAGAGATTCGCTACCTACAAGATATCTTCATGGCCATGGAGCAGAACTATTTGGATTCTGAGTATGAAAGCAAGCTGGAGTTCCAGAGCATGTGGAATGATCTCAAAAACGTGGTACAGAGGGAGAGCAGATGGGCAAGAACTGGGAAGAGGTGATAGAAAAATGCTCAAGGAGGCTGGGCACAGTGGCCTCGCACCTGTAATCCCAGCACCTTGAGAGGCTGAGGCAGGAGGATCCCTTGAGACTGGGAGTTCAAGACCAGCCTGGGCAACATAGGGAGACCCCATCTCTACCAAAAAAGAAAATAGCCAGGCATGGTAGTGTGTGCCTGTGGTCCCAGCCACTTGGGAGACTGAGGTAGGAGGACTGCTTGAGCCCAGAAGATTGAGGCTGCAGTGAACTGTGATAGCAACACTGCTCTCCAGCCTCTGTGACAGAGCGAGACCCTGTCACAAAAAAAAAAAAAAAAAGAAAAAAATGCTCAAGGCTACTAGAGGTAGAAGAGGCACCTTTAGCCAACAGTCAGTAAAAGATCTATTCCCACTGTAGGTATCCCTACTGCTTTTTGTAAGTTTGTGAAAATTGGTTAGGAGGGAAGACCATTCTAAATGTCAAGGGAATGCATTTTAGAGCTAAAAAGCACCACAGAGATCATCTGGCTTCACCCCTGTGATTTGCAGATGAAGAAAGTAAGGTCAAGATAAGTAAAATGACCTGCCAAAGTCACGCTGCTGGTTTGTGGTAGAACCAGAAGGAGATTCTAGGTCTCCTGCCCCTTGACCCAAAGTCCTTTCCACTGCCCTGGAGGTCCACTAGCCAGACCTAGGTTTGGGTATTGGGGGTCTTTGTTTTTATTTACCCCACAGGGCTTTATAAAATTTTTTGAATAAGTATCCTACACTTAAAAATTGGAGATTTAACAAAAGCATCTAAATTTTCAACTTCCCTTGAAAAATTTAAAGATCTGGCAACACTGGGCCCCATTTCCAAATGGCAAGGCTCACAGAGAGCTCAGTGACTGCCCCTCCTCCTCCCAGATGGAGCACTTCCTCTCCAGGTCACCACAGGCCCCACCCAGCCCACAAAACTTATCTATATCAGCTGCCTGCTCTTTTGTAGGCATTTTCATTGGCGACCTCTATACTAAACTATGCTACAAACAGTTCAAGAGGGTGAGGTTGCTGGTGGAAGTGAAAGGGCACTAATAAGCTAATTCCAAACATTTGCTATTTTGGGGTCACTTCCTAGAATTTAGAAGAGAAGCACTTTCTAAGACTGCAACTGGAGAACATAGTAGAAGATCTGTGGAGAAAGTTCCAGGATGTACTCAAGAATTACACTGATGCCACAGAAGATCGAAAGGTTGCCTTTGAGACCCTGCAGGTGAAGGATGAGAAGAGCTCCAAAGAGATTGAAGTACAGATGAAAAAAATACAGAAGCTACAGGTTAGTGTAGCCACCTGGAAATACTGCTTGAACTGCTCCGTTATCCCCTGTTCCTCTTCCCCTTGTTTCCTCTGGGCCTCAACACTGATCACTGGTTGGGAAAACATGACATGCTCTGATTTCAGTCCCCAAGCAGCCCTTTCACCTGTCTCACTGAAGACCCTCAGTTGGTCAAGTGTTTCCCCTAATCTACTCTGTTCCTCTAGGATGCCATAACTATTTCAAAAGGCAAGATCATGATACATAGCCGAGAGAGTGAAGATGAGAACCGGTATATCCGTAATGACAAGGAATTGGTGCTCATACAACTGCGAAAACTTAAGGCCCAAAGGACTCGGGCCCGAGCAGCATCCCAGAAGAACTTAGTCAAACTCACCCTGGAAAGTAATGCTGCCCTCAAGGCCCTGCGAAAGATTGTTGATAAGGTAATGTAGGGGAGAGGGCAGTCAGAACAAAGTCAAGGAACCTGGCTCCTGCAAGGTGAAAGGGATTTGGAAAGGATAGAGGAGACTTCTTCCTGCTTCCTGCCTGAGTGGACACTTGGAATACCTTTATTATTCCATGTTTCCTCCCCTCTGTAATTAATTAATTTATGGTATTTCTAGAGACGGGGTCTCACTATGTTGCCCAGGATGGTTAGGAACTCCTGGCCTCAAGCAGTCCTCTTGCCTTGCCAAAGTGCTGGGATTAGAGATGTGAGCCACTCTGCTGAGCCCCTTGCTATTTTTTTTTTTTTTTTTTTTTTTTTTTTTTTTTTTTGGTGAGACAGGTCTCACTCTGTCTCCCAGATTGGAGTGGTGGTGCCATCTTGGCTCACTGCAACCTCTTCCTCCTGGGCTTAAGCATTCCTTCCACCTCACCTCCCCCACTCAACGGCTAATTTTGTATTTTTTGTAGAGAGGAGGTTTCACCACGTTGCCCAGGCTAGTATTGAACTCCTGGCCTCCCACCCTGGCCTTCCAAAATTCTGGAATTGCAGGCATGAGCCACTAGGTCAAGCTCCCTCTTACATTGTATTTCATTAATTAATTAATTTTTTTTTCAAATGAGACGGAGTTTCACTCTTGTTGCCCAGGCTGGAGTGCAATGGTGCGATCTCAGCTCACAGCAACCTCCACCTCCCAGGTTCAAGCGAGTCTCCTGCCTCAGCCTCCTGAGTAGCTGGGATTACAGGCATGTGCCACCACATCCAGTTAATTAATTTTTTTTTTTTGAGACAAAGTCTCACTCTTTTGCCCCGGCTGGAGTGCAGTGGTGTGATCTTGGCTAACTGCAACCTCTGCCCCCTGAGTTTAAGTGATTTTCCTGCCTCAGCCTCCTGAGTAGATTGTTTTACAGGTGCGCACTATCACTCTCAGCTAAATTTTTATTTTTAGTGGAGCCAGGGTTTCACCATGTTGGCTAGGATGTTCTCAAACTCCTGACCTCAGTGATCCACCTACCTCGGCTTCCCAAAGTGCTGGGATTACAGGCATGAGCCACTGTGCTCGGTCTACATTTTAAATGGAAATGAATTGGCCAGGCGTGGTGGCTCATGCCTGTAATCTCAGCACTTTGGGAAGCCAAGGTGGGAGGACTGCTCAAGCCCAAGAGTTTGAGACCAGCCTGGGCAACGTAGGGCAACCAAAAAAAAAAAAAGAAAAATTAATAATGAATGATTTTTAAAAAATAGTTGGAATAGCGTGTTATGCAGTAACCTCTATTTGCTATATGTATTTATTGCTGTTGTCTCCCACTTGGATGAGTAGCTTTCCTGGGTTCAAACAGGGGAACCCATTCCACTAGCTTCCCTCTCTACCCTCCTTCTTAATAGAAACTCTCTTCCTGCTTCAAATAGGGTGAAAAGATCCTTAAACTTGCCGAAATATGTAGGAAATTTGAAACTGAGGAAGAAAAAGTGCTGCCTTTTTATTCATCAGTATTGACTCCTAAGGAGCAGGAGGGGATTGAGGAGAATAATTTAGAAGAGCTTACTGAGGAGCTCGCCAAGGTAAAGGCTGGGGGATGGTGGGGCATTGGGCAGCATTCGCTAATGGGTCTTGATGCACACTTTCTCCCTGTAACTCCACTCCAGGTGATCGGGGATTACATAGGGATGGAGAATTTCTGGAAAAGGTACAACAAAGTGAAGCTAGAGCAACTGAGCCTCCAACACAGACGAGCCCAGCTGCTAGATATCAATGGGAGGCTGCGGGGGATGCTGAAGCAGTACTTGGATGGCATCTCAGTGAGTGACGAAGTGCTGAGCCAGCTCAACCCACTCTTCATAGTCAACCATCGAAGCAACTTACCCCAGCCCTCATCCACACCTACAGCCCATCCAGGTGATAAGCAACATCCAACCACTTAAAATATCACTGAAGCAGCCCACGTGATCTTCCACACCCCGTGATCTAAGGGGGAAAAAAAAATATTTTCAATCCCTATTTTTTTTTTTTTTTTTTGAGAGAGGGATGTAGGGACATTGCTATTAAAAATTTCCATGGAGTTTATGAGCTCCTTATATCTTTTGCATATTGGACAGAGCAGTCCACTCTGAGGACACTAGGAACACTGTGGTCCCAGGGAATAGAAAGAACAGCTAGGCAACTACCAGGAGGGTCACTGCTCAATTAGGCATCGTTCCTCAGAATCAGGGCACCATGGGAGCCAAAATCCATACCTTAAGGACCTAGAGATCCTATGGAAAGACTCAAGACCAGGTCCTTAAAGTCAGTTAGGACAGCAAGGGGAGGCCAGGGGAAGAGGTGATCCAGGGCCTACAACTACCACCCCCAGGCCAGGCAAGATGCAACTGAGAATGCCTTTTTCCTCAGCCCTTTACCTCATTCCCACTTTCAAAGGCAGTCTCAAAGTATCAGATGAAGAATGCAAAGAAGTTTTTTTTAAAATGTATTATTTATTATTTCTTTTTGCTCTTGTTTCGTTTCTCTTCCTTGAGCTTCTTTTTGGAGACTTTCGGTCTGCTGGCCTTTCTGTATAGGTGATACCCAATGAGGCCCAGGAGGGCTGGCACCATAGCCATCCCTACTAGAGGTAAAATGCCCTTCACCAGCTTTAGCCAGTAGTTGGCTCGGATCAGTGCTATCAGCTCCACGTCATACTGCACCACTGCATCCGCTGGAGAGGCAGAGGGATGGAGAGGGTTAGACTCTGAATGCATTTTGTCCAGGGTTGAATCTGAATGAAAATAGGGAGGGTAGGCCACAGCAAAGCCAACAACTATGAAGCTGGCAAGATTTAAATGTGGGGTTGAATTCCCTTAGACAAGGGTAGAGAAGGATTATGAGCAGAGTCTAGTGATAGTCGTGTTGACTCCAACTACACATGTGGCTTGGGTTCAGTGACAAGTCTTTGAATGCAGGAAAACTTTCTGTGAATATGAAATGTGCAGGCTCTCTTCCATTTGTAAGTGGGAGAACTCACTATACTAACTACTAACTTATCCTATTTCCAAAAAACCACATGGATAGAATCTTTGCAGGGCTGCAATTAAATGGATTGAAACTAGACTTTTAAAAATTAATAAGCAGCTGGGCGCGATGGCTCAAGCCTGTAATCCCAGCACTTTGGGAGGCCGAGGCGGGTGGATCACGAGGTCGAGAGATCGAGACCATCCTGGTCAACATGGTGAAACCCCGTCTCTACTAAAAATACAAAAAATTAGCTGGGCATGGTGGCACGTGCCTGTAATCCCAGCTACTCAGGAGGCTGAGGCAGGAGAACTGCCTGAACCCAGGAGGTGGAGGTTGCGGTGAGCCGAGATCGCGCCATTGCACTCCAGCCTGGGTAACAAGAGCGAAACTCCGTCTCAAAAAAAAAAAAAAAAAAAAAAAAAAAATTAATAAGCACATTCAGTGTGATTGATTATGAGAAAACAGGAGTTTCAACATAAGAGGTGACGAGGAGGCCGGGCGCGGTGGCTCAAGCCTGTAATCCCAGCACTTTGGGAGGCCAATACGGGTGGATCACCAGGTCAAGAGATCGAGACCAACCTGGTCAACATGGTGAAACCCCACCTCTACTAAAAATACAAAAAATTAGCTGGGCATGGTGGCGCGTGCCTGTAATCCCAGCTACTCAGGAGGCTGAGGCAGGAGAATTGCCTGAACCCAGGAGGCGGAGGTTGCGGTGAGCCGAGATCGCACCATTGCACTCCAGCCTGGGTAACAAGAGCGAAATTCCGTCTCAAAAAAAAAAAAAAGAGGTGAAGAGGAAGAAGGATGAGGATGCTGCTTAAGAAATAAAAGGGGCCGGGCGCGGTGGCTCAAGCCTGTAATCCCAGCACTTTGGGAGGCCGAGGTGGGTGGATCACAAGGTCGAGAGATTGAGACCAACCTGGTCAACATGGTGAAACCCCGTCTCTACTAAAGATACAAAAAATTAGCTGGGCATGGTGGCGCGTGCCTATAATCCCAGCTACTCGGGAGGCTGAGGCAGGAGAATTGCCTGAACCCAGGAGGCGGAGGTTGCGGTGAGCCGAGATCGTGCCATTGCACTCCAGCCTGGGTAACAAGAGCGAAACTCCGTCTCAAAAAAAAAAAAAAAAAAAAAAAACAAACCAAAAAAACAAGAAATAAAAGGGGCTGGGTGCGGTGGCTCACGCCTGTAATCCCAACACTTTGGGAGGCTGAGACAGGGGATAACAAGGTCAAGAGATTGAGACCATCCTGGCCAACGTGGTGAAACACTGTCTCTACCAAAAATACGAAAAAAATTAGCCAGGCATTGTGGTGTATGCCTGTAGTCCCAGCTACTCAGGTGGCTGAGGCAGGAGAATTGCTTGAAACTGGAAAACAGAGGTTGCAATGAGCCAGGATCATGCCACTGCACTCCAGCCCAGCAACAGAGCAGGACTCCGTCTCCAAAAAAAAAAAAAAAAAAAAAGTAAAGGGGCGAGTGGAACAGAACTGAGTGGGCAGAAGAGGCGCAAATAGGCAGCACTGGGGATGGGGAGGTAATAGGGCTTTGGATAAAAGAGTTTCTCCTTGGTCCCTCTACCCTCCTTCCAGACCTTCCCCTAAGCTGGAACTAGGTTAAGAATTATGATCTCTATAATCCATCACACACATTTAAAAAAAAAAAAAAAAAAAAAAAAAATTACAATCTTTTTTTTTTTTTTTTTTTTTTTCCTTTTTTCAGAGATAGGATTTCACTCTCTTGGCCAGGCTGGTCTCAAACTCTTGATGGCATGATCCACACACCTCGGCCTCCCAAAATGCTGGGATTACAGGCGTGAGCCACTGTGCCCAGCCAAGTATTACGATCTCAATACTCTGTGGCGTACGAAACATTTTAGCTAATAGAACATTTGTTAGAACTGAAAGCAAAAGATAGATATGCATCTTGGGAAAAATGTCCGTCTCAACTGTTCAAAAATAAACATCAGCAGTGACCTATGATGGCTTTTACAATTAAGGGGGAGATTTGGCTTTAAAAAGTTGCTTTTTGTGGCCAGGTAAGGTGGCTCATGCCTGTAATCCCAGCACTTTGGGAGGCCAGGGCAGGGCGGATCATGAGGTCAGGAGATTGAGACCATCCAGGCTAACATGGTGAAACCCCGACTCTACTAAAATACAAAAATTAGCTGGGTGTGGTGGCACGTGCCTGTAATACCAGCTACTTGGGAGGCTAAGAGACAGGAGAATTGCTTGAACCAGGGAGTCAGAGGTTGCAATGAGCCGAGATGGCAGCACTGCACTCCAGCCTGTCGACAGAGCAAGACTCTGTCTCAAAAAAAAAAAATTTAAAAAAAGAAAAAAGTTGGCCAGGCATGGTGGCTCAGGCCTAGAATCCAAGCACTTTGGAGGCCAAAGCGGGCAGATTACCTGAGGTTGGGAGTTCAAGGCCAGCCTGACCAACATGGTGAAACCCCGTCTTAAAAGAAAAAAGTTGCTTTTTGTTTTGTTTTGAATTACTTGACTGTGATTATTTTTACTATCTCTTCCCGGATAGAAGCTGAAAGGAAGGAGGGGGGTGGCTGCACAGGTGACACAGCGTAGAGTTGTAGAAAAAGGGCAGGAAAGAAGTCCAGTGTTCTGGGAAAGGTAGTGGCACAGGCAGCAGACCCAAGTGGCACAAACAGTTCTCCTCCCTAACAAGTTACTGGCTGCTGGAGGTCACACCAGATGGCCTCATCAGGTTGTCTTTAGACCCCATTGGTGATATGAGGAGGAAAAGAAGTGGCCCTGCAGATGAAGGCCCCAGCAGTCTAAACAAACTTGGTCTGGGCCTTCTCAAGCTTCAAAGTATGTAGCTCCTTATAGCTCTTAGGGACTGGGTATTTTGATGGCCTAAGACAGAGGCCTTGTCAGATTACCTGGGACAGATGGTGGAAATCCCCGTTTTCCATAGGCCAAGTGAGAAGGAATGACTGCCCTTCGCTTCTCTCTGAGGGAAGGAATGTCAGTCACAGCCAGAGGCAGGAAGGGTGGGCCAGTAGCCTCAGTCCAGCTGAAGCTCCTCCAGCAAAACTCCCTGGATCTTCACACCCAGAACACAAACTTTTCCACCTGAACACCAAACAGGCTGGCCAGCAAAGGTGTCCATCTCCCCACGTACCTCAACTCCTCCAACAAAAGCAACAGTGCAAGAGGCACAGAGGCTTTGGATGCCCTCAGGGGTCCCACTGACCTAGACCTGTCTAGTGGGAAGCAGGGTCCTTTATCCCACATTCTCCTGCTTCTTAAGAAGCAGGGATGGCAGAGGAAGCCTCTACCCATGCAAAGGGGGTACCCAGGCCCACCCTTGTGCAAATACTCACCCCACACACATGTCTAGAAGACTCTGCTCCAGACCTTGAGGAAGAAGACACAACTGAACTGGAAGCTATCCACCTTCCCCAAATCCCACAACATAAAGATCAAAGTCTTCCTCCTCCATCCTCAATTGACCTTTCCCCCACTTCTTAAATCCCTAGCTTCCAACGGGGTATGGAACAAGTGGAGTATTCGAAGTGAGGTTTGAACTTCAGGAGGTAACTGGTTGGTAGAGCCCTAGGGTCTTACTCATTCCAGGGGGGGATTTCCAGGGCAGCTTTGAGGCTGAAGAGGCTAAGAACGGGCTTATGTTCAGAAGAGGTGAAATGGGAGGCACAGGTCACATACCTGGAATCACCTGCTTTTGGCCAAGTTCTATAACCAGAGGGTCTCTGGTCAGGGAGGTGTCAATAATACGTCCATCTACCAAGCTGCCCTGGGGGGAAAGAGTATCAAGAGCATACACCTAGCACCTCTCCCTCTCAGCGGGCGCGCAACACACACCTGGACCGCTGGGAGGCGGCAGCCCACTTAGACGGCCTAGCGTTCCCCTTAACTGCGGTAAGGAACAGGAAGCCCCAGAGGGCTGGCGCTTCTCGGAGATCTCTCCACCCTGCACTTCTCAGTGCCAGGTAGGAACTGGCAAAAAAAACAAGGAGGGGAAAGAGGTATAGAAGAGCAACGCCTCTCCCCTCGCCACGTGCTGGACGACCCGAGAGCCCCGAGTTTCTTCTCCCGAGCCGCTTGCCACGTGTCCAAGCCAAAGCTGACGTGTTTCAGCAGGGCGCCGCCCCCTCCGAGGCCCCGCCCCGACCCCCCAGACACCTCACCGTGTAGTGTATGTGAAGCGTGTCTCCAAAAGCAGCGGGCTCCGCACATGGTTCGGGGGGCTCGACCTACGATCGGACTACAGGGGTCACGGATACTCCTCCAAAGATCCCGTTCTCGCCCCTAGACCCGGCACCACCCCCAACTCAGTTCCCGCACTTACTCTCCTCCCGGTTCCCAGGTTGGTTGAGACCCCAGTATTACCCAACAAGGCTCGGCCCACCGGGCTGAGGGCCGGGCCTATCTCCTCACCAGGGTCTCCACTTGGAGGGTCCGGACGGGGCTTTCGGTTTCGAACCCAGTCGCAGTCCCGCACGCCGCCGCACTGAGCAGCAGCAGCAGCATATGGAGAGGGAGGAGTAACCGGCGCAGGGTCATGACTGGGCGCGGGGCAGGGAGCCGGGGCACCAGGACAGGCTGTTCGGGTGGCGGCGGCTAGGACAGCGTTCCCGCGGCGCCCAGGCCAGACTGGACGGGGCAGGGCGGGTCGTGATGCTTGAGCTCCTCCTCCTGCAGCCCTTCCTCCACCTTGTCCCCACCTCCGAGAGGGAGGAGGCCGCGGGAGCCCTATGTATCCTCTAAGATCCGGAGGGCGCAGGTTCTGACCCATCCGTTAGACGTTCTGTCCCATAACGAGGGGTTGGGCCACATAATGTCACCCATTTACGATTACCTACTGTGTGTCAGGAGCTAGTCTCTAATTCTCAAAACCACCCTGAAAAGTCGGCATAATTGTTTCCATTTTACAGATAAGGCACAGGGTGCTCAGGATATGCCCAATGTCATCAGGCTAGGTGGTGACAGACACAGGATTCAAACCCATGACTGCCTGAGTCCAACGTGGTTGCTGTCTGCTCTTTCCTCTTATGTCTCCTTGCTGCTATCCTGGCAGTTTCCAGCTAGCAGACTCAACCCAGGCAGTTGTCGAAGGGAGGAATTCCTCATTCCTCTCCCACCTCCAACTACTTCGGCTTAAATTTCTGGAGGTTAATAGATCCAAATATCCAAAAGAGGGCAGGGAGCTGTCCTATCCCTGTCCTTTGAAAAGCTAGCTGAAAAGAGCAAGAGGCTGTTTTCCTGTAAGAACTGGGTAAATCCTTGATATTTTCCTCTGTTGCTACCATTTCCTTTTTCCTTTCAACAAACTTTTCAAAAGGACATCACATGTAACCCCTTTATGTTTGTGTAAATACTTCCCTTTTTTTTTTTTTTTTTTTTTTTTTTTTTTTTTTTTTTTTTTTTTTTTGAGACAGAGTCTTGTTCTGTTACCCAGGCTGGAGTGTAGTGGTGTAATCTCCACTCACTGCAACCCTTGTCTCCTGGGTTTAAGCGATTCTCCTGCCTCAGCCTCCCAAGTAGCTGTGATTACAGGTGTCCACCACCATGCCTGGATAATTTTTCTATTTTTAGTAGAGATGGGGTCTTCCCATGTTGGCCAGGCTGGTCTCAAACTCCTGATCTCAGGTGATCCACCCACCTCGGCCTCCCAAAGTGCTGGGATTACAGGTGTGAGCCACCATGCCCAGCCAGATTTCACTTTTTAGAAGAGTTTGTGTGTGTTTGTGTGTGTGTGTGTATGTGTGTGTGTGTGTGTGACAGTGTCTTGCTCTTGTTGCCCAGGCTGGAGTGCAATGGCAAAATCTCGGCTCACTGCAACCTACGCCTCCTGGGTTCAAGTGATTCTCCTGCCTCAGCCTCCTGAGTAGCTGGGATTACAGGCACCTGCCATCACACCAGGCTAATTTTTGTATTTTTAGTAGAGACAGGGTTTCGCCACGTTGGCCAGGCTGCTCTCAAACTTCTGACCTCATGATCCATCTGCCTTGGTCTCTCAAAGTGTTGGGATTGCAGGCGTAAGTCACCGCACCCGGCCAATGGTCTTAACTGTACTCATTCCTTTTCCTTCCATCCCATCTGTAACAACCTAGACTTCCTCCCTATCTCTTGTTTCTGTTAGTGGCTCTGCTACCAGCATTCATTCTTCTCTCATCTCCCACATCCAATGGGTCTACTTTGGGTTCTCCTTCCACAGTCTCTCCAGCTCTTCCCTTCCATTCCCGTATCTATAACCCTCCCACCTCAGGATAAGAAGCCTTCATTATCTTTTGCAATTTTTTTTTAAAGTCCCCTCAGCAGGAGGGAATTTCTAGGGGTGATGAAATATTCTACATGTTGAGAGGTATGTGGGTTATATGGGTGTATGGATTTGGCAGAACTTACCAAACTGTATACTTAAGATCTGTGCATTTCACTGTTTTTGAATTACGTATCAAGTTTAAGTTAAACAAAAAACCCACAAAACTACATATCCAAGTCTCCCTTAAAGCTGGATATGACCAACTGACTAAGTTCTGGCCAAGAGAACATAAACAGAAGTATTTCAACAACAACAAAAAAAGTAGTATTCCAAGTATTGTCTTTGACTTCCAAGAAGGCCCTTTAAAGAGTTAACAGCTAGAAAGGGTCCTTCTGTGCTCCTCTCCCTCTCCCCAATCACCTTTCCTTCCTTCTGTCTGCTATCTGGAATGTAGATGAGATGAATTAAGTTCTAGAAGCCATACCTGGACCATGAGATGACCAAGAGGATGGAGGCTGCATGCTAGGATGGTGAAGCACGAAGCCTAAGTCCTTGCTAACTGGAGAGCCACTATGCCAGCTCTGGATTGCGTTCCACCAGACTCATCCATCCATCTATCTATTTATCTATCTATCTATCTAGTCTATCTGTATTTAATCTATCTATCTATCTATCTATCTATCTAATCTATTTATCCATCCATCCATCCATCCATCCATCCATCCATCCATCCATCCACCCACCCACCTACCTACCTACCTACGATGGAGTCTGGCTCTGTTGCCCAGGCTGGAGTGTAGTGGCACGGTCTTGGCTCACCACAACCTCTACCTCCTGGGTTCAAGCAATTCTTCTGCCTCAGCCTCCTGAGTAGCTGCAACTATAGGTGCGTGCCACCACACCTGGTTTTTTTTTTTTTTTTTTTTTGTTTTTTTTTTTTTGTATTTTTAGTAGAGACGGGGTTTCACTGTGTTAGCCAGGATCGTCTCGATCTCCTGACCTCATAATCAACCTGCCTCTTCCTCCTAACATGCTGGGATTACAGGCATGAGCCACGGCCCCTGGCCTACCAGACACCTTTATTTTTTAGTTGTATTTGAAGCCCCATTCTTTGTGAGGGGGGGAAAAAAAGATGAGTCAAGTATAGCAGTGGGAAGGGGGAGAGTAGCTCGATCTGTAACTGGCGGTGAATAACTGAGATGCCTATCTTCGAACCAGCCGCCACTTTTTTTTTTAGATGGGTGTCTCACTCTGTCATTCAGGCTGGAGTGTAGTGGCATGATCTTGGCTCACTGCAACATCCACCTTCTGGCCTCAAGTGATCCCTCCTGCCTCAGCCTCCTGAGTAGCTAGGACCACAGGTGCATGCCACCATACCCGGCTAATAGGTGTTTTTGTAGAGATGGAGTTTCGCCATATTCCCCAGGCTGGTCTTGAACTCCTAGACTCAAATGATCTGCCCACTTCCTAAAGTGCTGGGATTATAGGCATCAGCCACCAGACCAAGCTCACCATTTTTTCTTTTTCTAAGTCTCCCCCTGTTCCCCAGGCTGGAGTGCAGTGGTATGATCTCGCCTCACTGCAACCTCCACCTCCTGGGTTCAAATGAGCATATCTGGTTAATTTTTGTTTGTTTATGACAGAATCTCACTCTGTCTTGCTCAGGCTGGAGTGCAGTGGTGTGATCTCCACTCACGGCAGCCTCCGCCTCCCGGGTTCAGGCAATTCTCCTGTCTCAGCATCCAAAGTAGCTGGGACTACAGGTGTGCGCTACCACACCAGGCTAATTTTGTATTTTTAATAGAGATGGGGTTTCACCATGTTGGCCAAGCTGGTGTTGAACTCCCGACCTCAGGTGATCCACTCGCCTCAGCCTCCCAAAGTGTTGGGATTACAGGGGTGAGCCATCATGCATGGCCCCAGACACCTTTTAACTAAGGCAGAAATAAATGTCTATCTTGTTTAAGAAAAGTCCAGGCATGGTGGCTCACCCCTGTAATCCCATCATTTTTGGGGAGGCTAAGGCAGGAGGACTGCTTGAGGCCAGGAGTTCAAGACCAGCCTGGGCAATATTGCAAGGCCGCATCTCTACAAATAATTTAACAATTAGCTGGGTGTGGTGGCATGCACCTGTGATCCTAACTACTCAGAAGGCTAACGTGGGAGAATTGCTTGAGCCCAGGAAGTTGAGGCTGCAGTAAGCTATGATCACACTGCTGTACTCCAGCCCAGGTGACAGAGAGAGACTTTGTCTAAAAAAATAAGCCCCTCATCCCTAGCCTCTCCCTACTTTGGACCATTGTATACACTGTTGCTATCTACAGTTTCAGTCCCATCACCTGCCCACTAAAAAGCCTACCATGGCTTCACATTGCTCACATGAATAAAATTCCGACTCACTGACATCCCAGCTGAAAGTTTGTCCTCCAGCCCTAATCCGCTTTTCCAAACTTGGCTTTTATAAAACTGAATGCCTTTGAGAGACAGAAACCTCATGTTTCTCGTTTCTAAATCTTCATTGCTAGTACTGTGTCTGACATATTAATGCTCTGTAAATGATTGAGCTAAATCCCCTTCCTGCTCATGGACTGTGGTCTGGCATCATACAAACCTACATCTTGTGTTTTCATCTCTGTGCCTGAACTCATAGGCTTTCTTTACCTGTCAAGTTTCCTCCAGGCTAAGCTCAAATATCACCTCCTCTGTGAAGTCCCGATTCTCTTAGCTAGGAGTGACTTCCCTTATTTCTGAGCCCCGGGCATATACTTGTGGACAACATATTTTTCCTTTTGTTGCAGTTATTTGTGTATGCCCCATTCCTCCCTTCCTATGTCCCCCAAAGAGCCAGCTAACTGATGGCAAGGTCAAGGTTGCAATCATGTCTGGAGCTAGGTACTAGCTACACGATACCCTCCAAATAATAGATTTTAGACAGTATGTCTTATTTTGAAGAAATTATACTATGAAATACTAAGAAGCCATTAAAAGGAGATCTAATTATACTAATGTAGAAAATCTCTAAGGCAAATGTATATACCCTAAGTAAAAAAGCAAATAGCAGAATAACAGATGTGATATGAGCCCATTTATATTTTAACCCCTCCCCAAACACGTATCAGTACATACATTTAGAAAAGGAACTAGAAGGATGCACATCAAATAGCTCAGGATGGTTACATGTGGGGATGGGAGTGCAAAGAGTAGAGGGGAATGTCCCACATGTTGCTCTGTATATTTATTACTTTGGTTATAAAAATAATTTTCCTGTTCAGATGTTACTTCTCAGGTTATAAATTTTTAAGTTAAATATTAAACGAATGAACAAGATATACAGCGATACAAAGGAATGAGTGGGAGGTGTTAAATGAGTTGTGCTAACAGACCTCAAGGAGGCAGAGTGGGAAAAAACTATGAAAGTCCTTGTGGTTGCAGAGGGCACAGGCAGCTTTATGGAAGAGGTGAAACTTGAGCTACATCTTGGAGTGAGATTTTTAAACAAGTGAGAAAGGAGGTAAAGGCAGAGGGCCAGATGTTTGGGAAAAATGAATGGACCAATTTGGCTCAAGTAAGGGATTTGGCCAGAGACTAGAGGAAGGTGGTTAGAGAGGGAATTAAGGGCTAGTTGTGGAGAACCTTGAATGTCAGACTAAGGCAGTGGGAACACATTGATAGTTTCTAAGCAAAAGGGTGACATAGCATACTGTACTGATGCATCAGCAGACTGGAACAGTGTCATGAAAGTGGAAGGCTATTGTCTTATCCAGGTCTGAGGCTGTGTTCAGGAACCCAAAGGGGAAGAGGAGTAGAGTAGGAGAGGGTGGTAGTAGAAATGGAAAGGGCAAAACTATTAAAGACAATATCCACTCACAGGCAGCACAAGCCCACCTGCACCCTGGAGGGACCAGAAAAGGAGCTTTTTCCTTGGATCAAGTTAGAAGAAATCTAAACAACAGAGAAAGGTGACATGATTCTTGGAAAGGTAGGAGAGTCGGCCCAACCATGGCTAGAGATCACAGAACCGTTCTTAGAAGTCTCCACCCTCAAAGGTGTCTCTGTCAGTGAGTAAGAAAAACCCTACCTAGTCCCCCCAGCTTCCAGGACTCA